GTGCCCCCGGCTGATGGCAGGCAAGCGCGGCCGTCGCGAGAGTCTGGCTGGGGTCATCCGCGCAGGTGCGCCCCTCCAAGGCTTCCACGGGGGCAACTGCGAGGTGATCAGTGGTGTGGCTGCCCGAGATTTCGCGGGATGGGTTCCAGCGGGGCTCCTTACAGATCTTGGGCCAGGGGTCCTTCTTTTGCTCGGTAGTTAGTTGTGCGGTGCCCAGCCTGCCCAGCGATGCGCCAAGCCCGCCCTTCATCGTGGGCGTCGCCCAACACACCGGTCACATCCACGACGCTCACCACCAGGCTGTCCGCCAACTTAGGGGAGGCGGCGATCGCGGCGAGCGCGTCGGGTTACTCCACTTGGATGCTGACCTTCGCGTCGCCTGCCCGCCCCCGCACCCCCCGACGAACAGAGGGGGTGCGGAGGAGGGAGGGAGGGAGGGAGGTGAAGGACGAGGAGGAGGAAGAGGAGGAGGGAGGGAAGCAGGGAAAGAGGGGGGGAGGGAGGTAGGGAGGGAAGAGGGAGGGAGGGAGGGAGGGCGGCGGAGGAGCCTATCCCCCCTGTCGCGTTGCCCCTGATCCACCTTTTCCCCTGGAGTTTCTCCAGAGCCTACGCCGTGGCTGCCAAGGCCGGCGTCCAGAACCGCGCGCAGCCCAACAGCCGCACACGGGTGCGGCAACGGGCGGGCCTGGTTCACCGCCGCGGGCAGTCAGCCCGCCGAGCTGGCGTTGACCTGCGCCGGCCAACAACTTTTGGGGCAGGGGCGACGACGACGACGGCAAGGACGAAGCAAGCAGGGATGCTAGAGGACGCCCCGCGAAGGCCCCGAGGTGAGGAGACGGCCTGGAAGAGAAGGAGAAAGAAACAACGGTATAAGCATAAACTGTTCGAGGGCCGCGCGGATCTCATACTATATATATATATATGTATATATACATATACATACATACATATATATATATATATATATGTTTATGTATATGTATATGTATATATATATATATATATATATATGCCAATGCTGTTTTTCCTTAGAAAAGTCAAAGGCGCCAGAGGACGAAGACGCAGAGGAGGCGGAGGCTACGGCCGCGAGGCGGTCGTCAAGGCCTCCGCCGCGAAGGCCTTCCGGGACGAGCTCTGAGGGCCCCAGCGGGGGCAAGCAGGGCGAGGAGTGCACCAGTTCGAGGCCGCAGGGGGCCCAGTTCTCTGACGATCCGACTGCTTTTGGTCGAGCCGCCGAGCTCTCCCGCGACCCCGGGCCTCGGGGACGAGTTCTGAGGGCCCCAGGGCCATCAGAAACGGATCGGGGGCGGAAACCCATCACCTGGAACCCATCGGTCGGAAGAAGTAGGTAGAAACATGAAGTAGGAAGGCGTTGGAAATAGATTGGGGTTCCGCCCGCCTCCTGAAGAGGAGGGAAGAGGGAAACCCCCTCGACTCTTGAAGTAGGAAGGCGCTCAAAGTAGATTGGAATCTGGGAATCCAAAAATACCTACTTTCAACGACCGATGGGTAAGCCCACTACACCGCCAATACATACAAATATAATCCCCATTTGCTGAATATGCTGAAGCACTTTATATTCAGCGGTACTCGGGAGTTCATATCAAACGATGATTCCGCTTCATTTGGTCATATTTTCCAAATTCAAATCCATCCAGGACCCGGGGAACTGGTCGGGACCTCTGGGGCCGCGGATGTAGAGAAACAGTATTGGCAAATAGCATACGAGATGTCCCCCTGGGCCAACACCAGCCACCACCCCTGCGCTGGAAAGCCGGCCCTCGCCCTTCCACCGAGTCTTAGCGTCGATTCGCTCCCAGGCACACCGACACCAACAAACTTGCACCTCACGGGCAGATCTGTCAGAGAGTGCCTTCCCATCCACTCCATCATCCCACTCAGCATCCCGCTTCCCCTCCACCTCCTACCAATCCCCCTCTTCCCCTCCCACGGTCCGTCCCCCCCCCCTCCCTGGACCTCTCCCGCCCCCCGTCCCGCCTCGCCCCTCCCCGCGCCCCCTCTCCTGCGAGGCGGGCGCTGGCCCGTGACCACCACCTGGGGGATTGGCCGTTGGGGCCCTCGGCGGGCGGTGGATATGGATGTACTTGGCCCACCCAGGGCCCGAACACGTCCACAGACACCGCTCGCCTAGGTCAGTCGTTTAGGATAAATCGATGGCAAGCCTTCTCGGAAGGCGGCGGGGTTTCTCAGAAATCCTCCTGGGGGGTCCATAGCTAGTACTGGGGGGTCGGACTGTTGGCCTGTCGGTCCGGGGTCTTCCTGCGTTTGCGCATCCTTCGGGGAGGTTCCGCTTGCCCTTGAAATTATATATATATATATATATACTAGAACCATCGCGCGCGCTTTGCGCGCGCTCAGGTTCTAGCCCAGGCCGGGGGCGGTCTAGAAGATCTTGGACAGCGCTGTCAAACACAGGCGCGTGACATAGTCGTGCCTCCTGAGGGCCTCTTGGGAACCTCTTGGGTCATCGTGGGGGCATCTGAAGGCCTTCTGGGGGGTTCTCCGTGCTTCCTCAATTGGCTGTTGGAGGCACCTCTTGGGTGCTTCGCGGGGGGGCATCTTGGGGCTTCTTGGGGTCCCTTGGGGGCATCGTCAGGGTTCTCCGGGCAGTCGGACAGTGATGTTGTGCAGTCTCTGAAGCAATCAATTGGCCGACTTGGCTGCGTGGAGGCCCGGCTTGAGGACACATCGGGGCAATCCGGAAGCCTCCCGGGGCCTCCATGAAGCAATTTTGATGCATCGAGAGCACTGTTCGGCTATCTTGGGGCCGTTTGGGGCCTGGTGGGGGGCTTCCTGTGGGCCTCTTGGGGCGGAAAGCTCTGCTGTTGGGTTCGCGTTCCCCTTCTTGGGGCTCTCTTGGGGCCCTCTTGGGGCCCTGTCGGGCCGTCTTGGGCGCCTCGGGCACCGTCTTGGGGCCCGAAGTGGGCCGTCTTGGGGCCCTCTTGGAGGCCTCTTCGCCTATCTTGGAGCGGCCGTGGGGGCCACCTGGGCCGTCTTGGAGCGTCGGGATGCCCAAAGGCTGGGAACTCTAAAATCCATCAAAGGCCGATGGGAAAACAATGCTTCTTGGAACCTCTTCGGACTTCTGGGGAGCTTCTTTAGGGCCTCTTGGGTCCCACTTGGGGGCCTCTGGGGCTTCCTGAGATCCTCTCGGGGTGAAGGCTCGGATTTTCGGTACGTCTTACCCCTCTTGGGCCCCCCTTGGGGCCGTATTGGTGCCCTCTCGGGCTGTCTTGGGCCCTGTTGGAAGCCTCTTGGGCTATCTTGGATTGGTCTTGGAGGCCTTTTGGGCGTCTTGGAGCGTCAGGACGCCCAAAGGCTGAAAACTCGAACATCAATCAAAAAACCTATGCTGTTTTCCCCTCTACCCGTGAGGCTTTGTGTGTGCCGCCGCGCCCCGCGCGCGCCAGGCCGCTGGCCCTGGTCACAGCATCTGGGCCAATGCGGGGAGAGGCCCCAAGCCTCCACCGCGCCCCTGTGGGCACCGGCCACCCGCGTGAGCCTGGAGGGCCTTAATAGGAGCCTCCCACGCACACTACTGCGAGAGAGCAGGCATTCCTGCCGCACCGTACTTTACGAAGCACGGGCCACTCGCCAAGAAGGATAGCGACACATCCTTCGAACGCGTTGTTGCGAGAGAGTAGGCAATCCTGCCGCACCGCACTTTAGGAACCGCAGGCCACCCGCAAAAACCGCCAATGCAGTATGAATGCTGTCTACGCCGTAGGCGGCCTGGGAAGAAACGACCGCTGTTGTCACCACGGCCTCAAGAAACCATGGCCAGGCGGAGGGGTGGGAGGCGGACCCAAGATCTCTGCATATGGTCGCACTTACGATCATGATGCCGCATGTGGCTGTGCCGCCTCCCCGTTGCGGGGAACAAAGCGTAACATCCGGATCAAGATCCGTCTTCATATGCTGTTTTCCCTTCCACCCGTGAGGCTTTGTGTGTGTGTGTGCCGCCGCGCCCCGCGCGCGCCAGGCCGCTGGCCCTGGCCACAGCATCTGGGCCAATGCGGGGAGAGGCCCCAAGCCTCCACCGCGCCCCTGTGGGCACCGGCCACCCGCGTGAGCCTGGGAGGGCCTTAATAGAGCCTCCCACGCACACTACCAACTCCCCCTACCTCCACAGGCAGCGGGTGGTTGATGTCAACTTGGGCGCCCGAGTTATCCGGGGTAACTCGGGTCCGGGGTAACTCGGGTTTGGATTCCCGAAAAACGAACCCGAGTTAGCCCTGGCCCGAGTTACCCCTGATGATTCGGGGCTCTGGACGCCCGAGTTATCCGGGGTAACTCGGGTCCGGGGTAACTCGGGTTTGGATTCCCGAAAAACGAACCCGAGTTATCCCTGACCCGAGTTGCCCCTGATGATTCGGGGCTCTGATCAACGCATAAATCTCCAGATAAGCCCTACGAAACCACGCCTTAAGACAGATGCCATCCGCCGAAGGGTCCTCAAGAGGACCCGTGTACGGCAGGCGCGCTCCACTGAGCAAAAGGCACTGCGGCACAGCCACGCCCACAGACCCTTCAAGGAGGGAGGGCCAAAAGGGAGGGCAAACACCTGATTGCACGCTGCAGCCGCTCTTGGCCACGTTCCGGCAGCGACCGCGATCCGACATCCACCATCGCTTGATCGATGTATCCGCGCGCTGGTTTCAGGGACCCCCATCGGCCCAGCGCCTGAGTGGCATCATAGTTACCATATGTCGTAAAGTGCCATGTGGCACCACCGCGCCTAAGGCAATAGGGCGTGAGGTTGGGGCTCTGTAGCCCGAAAAACTTGGCAAGGTCAACGATGTGATGCTTGAGGGCGGCGAAGCCCCCCAGAAAAAGAATGTCAAAGTCGCCGAGAGGGGCCAACACTCGAACAAGAAACTGAATGATCAAAGGGTCGTACCGCGTCACGTGCCCTACCTGCCCATGTCGATTCGCCCCTTTGCTGTTTGGGAGCGATAGCAACAAGGCAGTGCCCCCGCCTAGCACGGTGAACTGCCGCTTGACGATGTTCACGACTTCGCCAGACCGAAGCAAGCATGCGAAGCCGACCAGCAAGGCAGCCGCCGTGCGGTTCCAGCCCCGGAGTAGCGCTACTGCAGCCATCCCTTGGACTAGGCCCTTGGACAAAGGCAGCGCACGGCGACGATGGGACGACCGAGCCCAGTTTGACATGTACAGCGTGGAGGTCTCGAGCTTCCGCCTCGACCGTGGGTAGAGGCGCTTGAAACCACACGCCACGTCGTTGCCCCAGTACTGCGGCAGGTCATCCTGATATAGGTGGTCGATGTACTCCCCCAGAACATCATCTAGTTCCTCAAAACTGCTTGGCATGCGAATTCCACGAGAAGAGAGGTGGCAAAAGAAACGGTTGACGGCACGGCGGTAGCGAAGGATGGTCGGCGGCTGGATGTTGACGTACTTAATGTGTGCTTTGCGTGGACCTGGAGCTGCACGTCTGCTACCCGGCATCGCTGGTAATTGGGGCGCCCTCCAGCAGCCTACTGGCTGCGTCCGACGCATTCCAACTACTGATGGTCCACAAGCACAGTACGTACAAATCCGCTGCCAAAGAGACTGCCGCAAACCGCCGAAGGGGCCGGTTGAGCACCCTCGCGCTCGACCGACCCTTTGCCGCAACGCAAGATGCGACGCGAGAATCGAATACATGAAAAAACCGTTCTCCATGCCGGTCCGGGTCGGCCACTCGTGCCCGGACGTACGTCAGGAATGCAATGCATTCAAGGACGTTGATGTGTTGGACATGCCTCCAGGCATAGCGCTGCACAACCTCCCATTTCCATATCGGAGCTGGGTATGGCACCTGCTGCCGCGACCCGTCGACGAGAGCCTGCGTCAGTAGACGCACGTCTGAACCGCGATAGTCGGCTTGCCCGAGCAAGCTCTGGAGATGGTTCTGTTCCTGGCCTCGCCCTAGCTTGTCCAACATCCGCTCCAGTGCCAAAATGGCTTCGGAGTGCGTTCCGCCCTCTCGCAGCCTGTCTGTGCTAGCCGCGAGGCTGCGGCTGATCCACGACGCCCGCTCGCTCGGCTGCGGGGGGAGCGTGGCCAAACTGACCTCGCGAAGCGAGTCCAGAAGAACGCGGGCGTACGCCTTGCAAAACTCGTAGGGGCAGACCTCCTCCCCCTCCTCCTCATGAGTGCCCTGCGCCACGACCCTGTGCAAGCCTCGGGCCATGCACGGATGCCCGCGGCAGGGGTCCATGTCTAAGGCAAGGTGCAGCGCGCTGCAGTTATGGAGGAACCCAAGGCCCACGAAGCGCGGCCCCCCGTAGCAGCAGACCCAGACCTTTGTGAAAAAGACGTCCTCGGACTGCTGCATGGCAATCGCGGATGGCAGCTGCCACCCAAGCCCACCTAGAGGGTCGACGCTGCAGACGGCCCAAGGCAAACGCGAAATTGGCGTTACGACGCCTCGTTCGCTGCTGCTGGCGCCCTGGTTGCCAAGCCCAGCGCGACCTTTTCCGGGCCGCCGCGGAAGCAGGCGCGAACCAATGTTCGAACCCAATGTCACCGCGCCTGAGCCGGTCGGTCTGCTGCTCTGTCACGCGGCAGCTGGGTGACCGTTCCATCTGAGCCCAAACCAAGGGCTCCAGGACAGGGGCCCCGCGCGCCGCGCAAGCCCAAGTGAGCGGAGCGCTGAGGCTCGAGGGGCCCTCCGCAAAGTGGACATGGGAGGTCCCGCTACCCAGACAAACTCCGCCGCGATGGGCGCGCAAGCACCGTAATGAACAGAAGGCCCCAGCGCAACCGAGTGGGCACGTCGCCCATTCCTCGTGCGCGGGCGTGCGTCCGCCACGCGATGAGCATGGGCCAGGCCTGCCTCCTGGCCGAGGACCCGCTCCTCTGCTAGCGCCGCAGCCCACGCCTCCTGGCGCTCCGCTTGCCCCGGCGCCAGGGGGCAGACGAAGCTGGTGGCCTCAGCTGCGCCGCCGCCGCTCTCCGAGGCGTCGGACGTGCTCGCGACCTTCGGTGCCTTCGCGCGGAGGTTCATGAAGGCCAGCGGGACGAGGGCCCCTCCAAGAAGGACCTCGTCGACGACGCAGTCAGGGGGGGCCAGCGGCACCTCCGCCGGCCCAAAGCTGTTGATGAAAGGGAAGATGTCCTGCAAGACCGAAAAGAGCGGCCTGCGGAAACCCGCGGCGAAGCAGAAGAGGCCCGACTAAAGTTGAGCCTCACCTGCAGACCAAGCGGGCCCCCCCAGGAGGGTGAGCGACTTCGTGCAGAACTTCAGCGACTTCTCCCTTCCGTGCATAAGACGCCCGCGCAACCCGTCGAGCTCTCCGCCTCGGATGCCGGCCCTCAGCCCGCGAACGAGCGATTTGCCCGCATTGAGGGGGGCCCCTTGCGCTGCGCAGACCGCGACGAAGCGTTCCATGGGCCCAGAACGGCCTGGGGGGGCCTCCGAAATGTCGTCCACGAGGAGCTTGACCTTCGAAAGGTGATCGTAGCCGTCCATGCACGCGATAGCTATGTCTTGCGTGGGCACCGCCGTATCTTTCCGCAGCTCGCAGAACGGCGGAACCGCAGCAGTCTGGAACACTAACTTCCGCGCCATGTACTGCATCACGTCCACGGCGCCGACCCAGCCCATCGGCGCGGCCCGCATGCCCACGTAGGTCATGACATTCGGGTCGCCGCCGAGGGCGCTCATCGGAACCTGCTTCTCGAAGGCAAACATGCCCAACCACTCGTCTGGCATGTAGAAAACGTTGAAACATGATTCCATGTCTTCGGAATCCACCCAGAAGACCTCGTCCTCCTCCAAAGCGGCCAGCCCCAACTGGCCGATATAAGGGAGGAGGCCGCTGTCCCCGCGGAGTCGCCGGAGGAAGGCATTGATGGGCACGAATACGCAAATGAACCGCAAGAGCTCGACCCTCACGCCATTCGCGTGCTTGACCTTGTCCACCCCGTCGCCCCATTCAACGCCGAGTCCCCGCGGGCGTCGCGGAAAATGGCATCCGCGCCTACGGGCGCGAACAACCCTCGAGCGTAACCCGCGGTCGCCAAGCTGAACCGCTCGTCGCCCGTCGCGTGGGCCCGAGAGCGCGGAGCGACCGCAGGCCATTCAGACCGGGGTAGGACGCACCTGCTCGGACATAGCAGGTCGCCCCGGAGTTCCTCCGATACGTAGTCGACGATCGGTAGGATGCACGCCTTGCCAGGGTCCGGCCACGCTGGCACGACCTTGCTGCAGACC